AATGTGGACGGGGCAGAGCCCCAGGGACAGCCTGTGCTGGCGATGTACGGGGACAGGATCAGACCCCACAGTGCCCGCGGGCCACAAGGCCAAGACAGGGTCTGGTAAGTGACGATTTGGAGGCTGGTCCTGACGTCCAGGAGGGACTACCAGGGACAGAGAGGGCGCGGGGTGACTACTGTCCCCCCAGGCTCACATCCACCTGCACCTGTGAGTGGGGCCTTATTTGCTTACAGGGTCTTTGCACACGGGGTTGGTTACAATGAGGATGCTGGAGCGGAGTGGCCTATGTCCCTGTTAGCAACTGATGTCCTTAGGAGGAAAGAGGAATGTGGACACCCACACACCCGGAGACGGCCGCATGGAGACAGCAGAGGCTGGAGTGATGCGGCTACAGACCAAGGGCACCTGGAGCCCCGGAAGCTGGGAGAGGCAGGAAGGGTCCTCCCCTGGAGCCCACTCCTTGACCTCAGGTTCCTGGCCTCCAGCACAGGCAGAGGCTGCTCTAAGCCACCCAGTATGCAGCACAGCTGCGGCCGCAACGAGAAGCTCGTCCGGGGAGAAGGCTGCTCCAGCCCTAACCCCAGCGTGCCCTGGAGTGAGGCGGCACGAGGCTGTCTGTGGATTTCCACAGCATCCCAGGAGGCGTCTGGACCGCGGCGGCTCCAGGCTGCCAACCGCGGGCAGAGGCCACCGCTCCCAAACTTGGACCCTGCCATGCGCAGGCACAGGCCAGGTTGGGCTGGGGAAGCCTGGGAACCCCAGACCGGCCAGCACTGCCTGCGGTTTCTCAAGCACACTGGGTGGCGGCCCCTCTGTTTAGGACGAGGACGAGGTGGGCCTGGCGGGAGCGGAGGAGCCGGGGTCCAGGGCGAGCAAGTTCCGGACCTTCCAGTTCTCCCCGCCCCAGGAAGAACTGCAGTGGCCCCGGCCGCCTGGCGATGGAAGGGGCACTGCAGCCTCACCGCCCCATACGCCAGGAGCCCACGTGCGTCTCTCACAGGGAACCGTGTACTGGCCGGACTCAGGGTCCTGCGGACGGGGTTGGAACCCAGCGCCCAGGAAGCTCCCCTCCCACTGATCAAGGACCTCCCTCCGGGTGGGTCCTCCGGGTGGGTCCTCCGGAAAGCTGGGCCCACTGCTGTCACTGCCCCTCTCCTGGGAGGGCTCAAGGGTGTCGGCTGTGAGGGCTTCACACTGCACCCCTGATTTCCAGGGAAGCCCCTGCCCATGCCTTCCGGAGCCTTCCGGAGGGGCCAAGAGGCTGGTGCCATGGGAGGGAAAGTTCCCAAGCTCGGAGATGGACAGAAGCAGGAACAGCCGGAGTGCGGTGCTGAACTGACAGCTTCTCTTGCCAAATCTCCTGTCCTGCCCCAGCACAAAGCCTCCCCGGTGCACGGGGCCAGGTGCTAGGACACTGTGGGGGAGTCCCAGATGCCAGGGGCGGTGGAGACGGAGGGGGAGGGGGAGGGGGAGGGGGAGGCACTGTGAGTCTTCCACAGGGTGTGCCCCGAAGAGGTCAAGACTCCACTGAGGAGGAGGAGGAGGAGGCGGCACTGTGAGTCTTCCACAGGGTGTGCCCCAAAGAGGTCAAGACTCCACTGCCCTGAAGCAAACAAGGTGTCCAGCCAGAGCCAGGGCCACACGCCCAGCAGGTAGGATCCAGCGACCCCGTGCGGCAACCCCCCGCCACTCGAGGGAGGACACGGAGTTGACGTGGCCCCGCCTGACATCTGAGCCCGCCGTCGGGGGCTCCACCAGGTCAGGGCTGCTCAGCTGACCCCACAACCCCACCAGGCACGGTCAGCACGGCGCCAAGGGAAGGCCTGGAAAGGGAGTAAAGGAGGCCCTGAGGGAGGACCTTGGTGCTTCATCTAAGCCAACCCCAAAAGTGGAAGCCACAGGGCCAGGGGGATGTCGTGGCTGAGATACAAGCAGGGTGCAGGGCACTCCCAAGGCAGCACTGCTGTCTGAGAACAGAGGGGAGCCCGGGTCCGAGTCAGGGCCAAGCCACGCAGTGGTGGTTGCTGGCACTCAGCCCTGTACCCTCAGACAAAGCAAGAGTCCCAAGCCAGGAACGTGAGACCGACTCCTGTTAGGCAGAAACTACATCTGGAGAACCAGACTCCAGATCCAAGACCCCAGGCTCCAGATCCCAGGTCCCAGATTCCCAGATCCCCAGATCCCAGACCCCAGGTCCCCAGATCCCCAGATTCCAGTACCCAGACTCCAGATACCAGGCCCCAGATCTCAGACCCCAGATCCCAGTACCCAGACCCCAGACCCCAGGTCCCAGAGGGAGGCCCCAGTGAGGGAGTGGAAAGGAGATTCCGTGACACGAATGCTTTGTAGAAAGAGCCCTCCAGGCTGGGCAGCAGGGGCTCCAGCACAGGGTCCCCATGGCCGGGCCTCACTGCTATTGGTGGTAAACGCCCTGTCCACCTGGCCAGGGTGGTGTGGCTTCCTGTGGCAGCCAAGCAGCTTCCACGCAGCTTCTGCTGCTGTGAGGAGCCCACTCAGGTCTTGTGTTTATTTTTGGTCTTTTGGGGCCAGCACGGTGGCCCAAGCCTGTAATCCCAGTGCTGGGAGGCCATGGTGGGAGGACTGCGTGAGCCCAGGTGGTGGAGACCAGCCTGGGCAATAGAGCAAGACCTCAACCGCACCTGCGTGCACACACACACACACTCATACACTCAAACACGAAAAGCCTTCTTTTTTTTTGAGACGGAGTCTTGCTCTGTCGCCCGGGCTGGAGTGCAGTGGCCGGATCCCAGCTCACTGCAAGCTCCGCCTCCTGGGTTCCCACCATTCTCCTGCCTCAGCCTCCCGAGTAGCTGGAACTATAGGCGCCCGCCACCTCGCCCGGCTAGTTTTTCGTATTTTTTTGTAGAGATGGGGTTTTACTGTGTTAGCCAGGATTGTCTCGATCTCCTGACCTCGTGATCCACCCGCCTCGGCCTCCCAAAGTGCTGGGATTACAGGCTTGAGCCACCGTGCCCGGCCCACTAAAAGCCTTCTAACACACTGAGCTTGAGCCTGTGGTCCCTTCTGACCCACAGGTCTTTTTCTCCGGAGCAGATGTTAAGCGAAATCCCGCTCACTCCAGACTTCCGGTCCTTTGAAGTGGAGGTGCCCTTGTGTGTCTTCAATCCGTGTGGAGGGTAGTCTGGCCCATCCCACACCTGCTACCGTCACTGTCTCACATCAGCGGCCTCAGGCCACAAGGTCTCCCCACCTGGCTCCTTGGGGGTGCCAAGCGTTGCCAGCAGCCGGGCTATGCTGACCCGGGGCAAGTGGCCCGACCAGTCGCTACTGTCCTTGAGCTCCTTAAGTCCAGCCTTGGTCACGAGGACCTGCATCCGAGCCCAGAGGGCATCGGGTCCTGGAGGAGGAGGAAGAGTCCCTTCTGGCTTCAGGCTGGGCTTGAGGACGGCAGCTCCGGGACGGCCCAGAGCGAGGCTTCAGTGCTGACTGCTGGAGCTGCCTGCCCTGTCCTGACAATGGCCGTACAGTGAGGCCCTGCTCCACGCCTGGGGAGGGAACAGAGGCCCCGAAATCACAGAAGCAGGAACCCCAGGTTCACCGGTGGGGCCTGATCCATTTTTTCTCAAACCCAGCTGCTGAAAACGACACCCACGCGCCCTCGCTGGGCGCAGCAGGTCAGAGGTCAGGTGGGCTGGTGCTCCAGGGCCACGGCTCCAAGGCCAAGGTCAAGGCACTGCTGTCCTGGACCCTGGTCTGGGTTCTCCGGGGGAGTCCACGCCTGAGCTCAGCCAGGTGGTGGGATTCTGCTCCCTGCGGCTGCTGAGCCGTGGCCCCACTTCCCCACTTTCGGGGTGCTACATACCCCATGACGCCATCCCTCCTTCCGAGAAGTCAGCAGAGCAAGGTCCCTCTCAGGCTTCTGACCTGACCTCCCCTCCTCCAGACGGAGAAGACTCCCACGAGAGGACATCTGTGATGATGCCAGGCCCCGAGGAATCCAGGGCGGTCCCTCTGCAGAGCCCCTGTGCCCTGGGAGGCACCTCACCCACAGCTCCAGGGGGTGGGGGGGGGCCGTGGCACCTCTGGGGCTGACCCAGACCCGCAGGACACAGCGCCAGACCATGAGGTCTCAGCCTGCGGTCAGGCCACGTGCACGGAAACCCAGGCTCCTGAATGGCCAGCCAGGGGCAAAGCCGGCCACTGAGTACGCGAGCAGGTTCTGGGGGACACGGTCCCGCTCCTTCAGGGGCCCAGAGGCTGCGGATGTGGAACTCAAGTATCCTCCTCTCAGCATAACCTCCCTGCCCCTCCCACGTCCTCCAAGTGGGGCAGGAGCCGCCTCACCAGAGCTGGGGGAGGGGGCCACACAGATGCACCCCTGGGGAGGGGCGCGGAGACTCCCGGGCAGGAATGTGGCCAAGGTTTCTAGACCATCTGGTTTTTCAAGAGAAGCCACAAGTCTGGGTTTGGGGGTGGCAGCCCCTGATGTTCCAAAGTCGGCAAGCAGCTCAGGCAGCCACGCCCCCATCCTGGGGCAGTGTTGGGCGCCCAGCCCTCAGGGTCACCCGGAGAGCGCCTGCCTCCACCTGGGGGCTCGCAGCTCCCCCGAGCTCCTGGCGGTCACAGTCATTCCAGGATCTGATAAAAGCCCCCGAAAATGCCCCTGGTCAGCCCAGCCACACCCGGGCAACACCAACAGCCATTCTCTGCCCAGTCCCAGCGCCCAGTGGAGACCCCCCCGCAGCTTCCGGGCCCCCACAGCGAGAACATTCCAGTCACAGTGATGTCGCCCCGAGAAGCTCCTCACCGTCCCCCATGGCCTTGGAACCCCCTTCACACCCACGGGTTCCAGGCACCCTGGCGACTGTCTGTTCCCACGGAGCCTGGCCCTCTCACAGCGCAGGGAGGCCGCGGTCATTGGGCACAGGTCCTGCGACCCGTTGCACCCGGCCCCTGGGCACTGGAGGCCAGGTGGTGAGCACAGTGGACCCCAGAGGCAGCTTTCCTCAGTTTACCTGACACGTAGAGGAAGACGCCTCCTCGATCCAGGCTGGATGGGCAGCCGACGGCGGTACAGGGCCATGGCAGGGCAGGGACTTTCTCCGTGACCCTCCCCAGCTGCCCCTCCCCGGCTGCCCCTCCCCAGCAAGTGAGTCAGTTCCAGAAACCTTTACTGCCCACCAGGCCCAACGGCTCCCCAGCTACCCCTCCCCACGCCCCAGCACCCAGGGCCTCGGCCCCAGGAGCCACACAGCAGCAACTCCCAGGAAACGTCAGGGATCCGCCTGCCAGACCCGGGCGCACATCACTTTCAAAACACAGCGGGGCCTGGAACCCAGGCCAAGGCCACCTCTTTCAGTTTCACTTGGGCGCTTGTTCTTGCTGGGGACGGAGGCTCATCGCAGGGCTCCGGGAAGCGCAGGCACGAGTCACGAAGCAGGTCACTGAGACAGCGGGGCACCAGGCCCGCCAGTCCCATCTGCTGACCCCAGCCAGGGCCCAGCACTCCCAAGCCCGGCACTGCACGGTGCCTGCAGGGAGCTGACTCCGCCACGACTCTCCGGGCCCCTCCTCCCACCCCATCACTCATGGGGTTGTCCAGGGCGAGAGGCCCAGGAAAATCCGCAGGAGAGCCAGGGCACAGGGCACGTGCGCGGCCCCAGGCTGAGGCCTCCATGGGACTGAGCTTCAGGGCCACGCTGCCACGCTGAGCTCTCAGAGGGCCTCCGCCTGGACCACCAGGCACCCTCAGGCTGACCAGACCCTGCGTGCCGCCCATGTGGCCCAAGGCCTGTCCCCCTCATGCCAGGAGTCCCCTGGGCCCCTTCGAGTACAGTGCAGCATTCCCTGCCCCCCGAAGCAGCGAGTGGTTCAGGGGCAGAGCGGGGCCTGGCCGAGGGGCCCCTGGGGGGTGGGGTGACGCCATCACCGTTGCTGCCCTAGGGGCCGGGACAGGACGGCTGCCCAGCGCCCCCGATGCAAGCTGGCTGCAGGGCTGCCTGGCCGGTTCCTGGGGACACCACGCTCAACCCTGTGGTAACAACAGGGGATTCTGAAGGACAGGCAGGTCTTACTTTCTGTTAAACACTTATTTTCCCTGAGATACAATCCACACCAGGAGGGGCACCTGTCTGGAGCATCTGACGCAAAGGTTTCGATGTATTCTGAGGCGGACCACCATAGCCTCTAATTCCAGAACATTCCGTTCCCCCAAAAAACAGCCCTGTCCCCAGTAGCAGTCACTCCCCACCCTTCTACGGCCCCTGCAACCACACGTCCACTTCCCGTCTGTGGACTGTCCTGCTCTGAACACGTGACCACACGTCTACGTCCCATCTGTGGGCTGCCCTGCTGTGGACGCATCACATGAGCGGAGTCACGTGCAGTGGCCTTTTGTGTCTGGCGTCTCTCCGCGAGCACGCCTCCGCAGAGCATCCGTGCTGGGCACACAGCAGATCTAACCTCCACCTCCTCACGGGGCCCAGAAGGCCCTGGGCGAGAGCAGATGGGGCCCACACATCCGAAATCCCCGTCTTGGCCAGAACCCCAGGTTTGCCTTCGCCCCCAGGGCTGAGCCCTCTCCTGAGTCCTGGGCCCTGTGAAGGGTGACCGCACCTCCCAGCAAGGAGGCAAGGTGACCACGGAGCTGGCAGTCTGCTCTTCGTCCCAGCCCGAGGGTGCAGGTGCCAGCTGACCTCCCAGGGACTGGGGGCGAGGGCGCAGAGGCGAGGGGCAGGGCTGAGAGTCCACCCACACTGCTGGGCGGACAGCGGGCAGGCCAGGACGAGAACCAGGTCGGGGTGACCTCGCTCTCAGGCTACAACAGGCAGCTGGACACACCCAGCCCTCCCCGTGTGCTGTCTGACCACACAGCCCTTGGCTGTGGAAAAAGTGACTGGAGGCACTCCAGGCCTGCCCACAACAAATCACACGCACATGTGCACACAGACACAGGCCACGCACATGTGCACATAACACACGCAAACATACAAAACACATATGCATAAGACACGCACAGGCAGGGGTTCATGGGAACAGGCAGCACACAACACACACACACACAGGACACGTGCATAACACGAGCACAGGTGCACAAGCAACGTGTGCACACGCAACATGCACACAGAGTACACGTTTGCACAAGCACGGGTGCACAGGTGATACACACGCACCCACAACACACACACACACAACACACACGCGTGAGCAACACACACGCAAGCACAGGCAACATGCAACACACACATGAGAACACACACAAAATACACACAACCACCAAAACACACACACAACGCACGAGAATGGGCACACAGGCATGGGCAACACACAACAAAATACACGCATGCATAACAGACTCATGAACATGCGTACACAGGCACACACACAACACACAAACACGGGTGCACAGGCACACACACCGTGTACCCATAAAACATACGCGTAAGAAACACACAAACAACACACACATGCACAGGAGCACACAGCCACGGGCACGCACATTCACACACGGAGAAGGCACACGCCTCCGTACGACGCACACAGAACGCACACGCGTCCGTACGACGCACAGAATACACACCTCCATACAACACACAGGCATACAACACACACGTGCATGCACATGGCACAACATGTAGATACACAAAGACACGTGTACACACACATGCACAGCCCCCGGGGCCGCGCTGGCGCCATGGGGGACTGCCTCCACACCGCCTCCAGGAGTGTTTACAGCTGTGGATTACATGACACCGCCCCCTTCCCAGAGCTGATCCCACCCCCCCAGCATGGGGGCCCCCTGGGAGGGGGGCCTCTGGGAGCTGGACTGGTTCTGCAGACAGTTGCTTCTTTGTTCAGGGCAGAGCTCACTCTCGCGGTGTTGGCGTTTCCGCCTGGGCCCTGCCGGAGGGGCATCCGTGACTCTGCTGGAGCCGGGTTGGGCGAAGCCCAAGCTGGTCACACCCCCGAGGGTGGGGGAGGCCTTGGGCAGCAAGTAGATGGGGGGGTCTAGAGGTGGCTGGCGCAACCTCTCTCCGCCTCGGTTTCCCCACCAGGTGAGAGGGCAGTGACTGCCCACGGTCGTGCGGCTGGGGAAGCTGCACCCTCTCCTCCGCACCTGCACACCTGGGCACCTCCTGTCTAGCCCAGACTCCAACCGAGAGTGAATGGATGAGCGAAGCTCCTGCTGCCTCTTCTGTGCTCTGCCTCACAGGCTCCCTCCCACTGGAAGTCCAGCCCCTGCCTGCACAGCCCCCTCCACACCAGGGTCCTTCTGGCTCCTGGCAGGTGTGGGCAGATGTCTCCTGGGATCCTCAGAGTTAAACAAAAGCCTCCTCCCTGTGCTCTGAAATCACACTCCAGGGGCTGGCAGGCGCCTTCCAAGTCCTTCCCTCTCCAAGGGCGAGAGCCTGCCTGCGTCTCCCCTGCTGTGGGAGAACCTGGGGCCCCTATCCTGCTGTTCTCCATCCCACCCACTGAGGGGCCCAGATCTCAAATTCGCCCTTTACTTGGCAAGAACTCTGAAGGTGGCCCAGAGCAGGCCACTGTGAGAAGCCATCACCCCACGACCGGGGACACCCCTGGGAAAATCCAGGGCTGGGCAGCCAGATCCCTGAAGGCCAGAGGCTGTCTGGGAAGAAAGGGCGTGGACGGCACCTGCCTGGCCTGCCACAAACGCTCTGGGTCCCAGGTCCCCACCGCTCATCTTCCAGGGCCGAGTCAGGGAGCCCCATCCCAGGGAGAGCACCCAAAACAGCACAGCACCCCTCAGTCAGGAAGCAGCGCCGGCTGCCCTGGCCCAGAGGAAGAGGCCTGGAAGAAAGTTTGAAGCCTGTAATTCCCGTGTAATTGGGCTGGCTCCCCATGGGGTCTGCGGCCCTGGGGCCCTGGCTCCTTCCATACTCTTCTCTGGAACCTCGGCTCCCTCTGCCCCTCCGTAAAACACTCACCGCACCCCCCTACCCACAAAACTGGCAGCCAGCATCAGCACAGGCCAGCTCCGAGGCTGGGCACTCTCGCTGACAGGGCGTGCAACAGATGGCACCAAACCCATCCCGTCCCGGCAGTCACAGGCAGGAAGGACGTTCCCGAGCAGGCGGGACCAACAGGCATTCCGGGAAGAAGCAGCCAGGGGAAGACCCGACTACACATTTTATAGATTTTTTTTTTTTTTTTTTTTTTCTTTTCAGAATGTTAATCAGTTCATCCGAGGAGACACCCACCGTCCCTGCCCCAGCACCATCCGTGCCCGGCATCCCTGGAGGTGCTGGCTGGGCTCTCCACAACGCCTGCCCGCCAAGCCCCAGGTCAGTCTGGGGATTGATCCCTCCAGGCCCCACCAGCCTTATTCTTCGGGGCTCTGGGGTGGTGGGAAGAGCGCCCTACGGGGGACAGGACCCACCAGGCGGCCGGCGCTTCCCATTCACCGACACACTTCCCATTCACCGGGCCCCACTCGGGCCATCTCAGCCCGCTACCCTCCCTCCCGCCTGTCCCTGGAAGCCGGGTTTGAATGCGACCCGCACTCCCACCCCAAACACGCTCTGCAGACTCCGCCCAGACGGCCCCAGGGTCACCTAATATCAGCAAGCCCCCATCCCAAACCGGGGGACCTCCACGCAGAAACCGAGAAACTATGCCCCAGAAGACAAGTCGGAGGCCCCGGGGGCGGGAGCGGCGGGGGGAGCTGGGGGAGGGAGGGAGAGAGGACTGCGCTGCGGGGCCGAGAGGGCAGGGGCCCTGGGACCGGGGACAAGGAGGAGGAAGGCGCACGAACGCCCAAGGAGCCTGGAGTCAGGAATCGGGGAGGCAGGAGAGATCGGGGGTCACGAGGCGCACAGAGTCGAGAGTCCCCAAAAGGGAAGGGCAGGATACCGAGGAAAAGCGGATGCGGGGTCACCACGGGGCTCGGGGGCACCGAGGAGTGCGGGGTCAAGGGTTACCAGAAAACGAAAGGTCGGGGGTCACCAAGCAGCGTGGGACAGGGAGGCACCGGGAAGAGCGGGAAGGAAAGGCTGGGAAGGTTGTCGTGGAAGGTGGGGTCAGGGTTCACGGCAGGGGGTCGCCGGGGGTGGGAGCAGGTCAAGGTTCACGGCGGTGGTCGCGGTGCAGCCCGAAGTCAACGCTGGCGGCGGAGGGCGGGGTCGGAACGGGTCGCAGCGGAGAGCAGGGGTCGCGCCGCGCTCGCCCCCGCCCCGCGGCCCCCAGAACCCCCAGCCCCGGGCGCAGGGGTCCGCGGGGAGCGCCGGACCCACAGGCGGAGTCGGGCCAGGCAGGGGATGCGGTGGAGTGGGGGCGGGGGTCGCAACCAGAGCCTCACCTCGAGCCCGGGTCTGGCCGGGCGCGGAGCCCGTAGCGCCTCAGTTTCTCCGAGCCTCGCAGCGGCCGCCGCTCACTTCCGGGTTTCGGGCGCCATCTTGGGGGCCCCGCGCACTTCCGGTCATGCCGCGGGGCGGGGCCTCCAGCTGTGGGGGCGTGGTCTCTCTTAGAGGCGGGGCTACCTTCCAGGCC